CTATCAAATCAAGATAAAAATCTTCCTTATAAAAGAAATAAGATCTAAGTAAGATAACATTCTACTTTCAATCCTTGTTTGTAGCTTCTTTGTAGTTGTGACATTGACGAAATGAAGAACTAACAACTAGCAGATTTGACTCAAGAGCCTTCGTTTGTTGACTTGTCGGCCAAGACATTATGATTGTCACAACCTTCAAGACGATGCAATCGAGATGAAGATCTTCAAGAACAACATGTTCTTCCTTGAATAGATGGCGAAATACAATGTGTTTGATATCACGACCTTGGAAGGGGCTCCCGATGTTTAGTGATTTTAGTAGAGTTAGGAACAACTCCTGACGATGTTTTAAATGTTTTATTCGTAGGAAGTTATGAACGCCTCAACAACCATCAAATAATTGGGTGGTCTTTCCACCCTGATATGGGACACTATCGATGGTTGAGAGGCCCTATCAATCATCTTCGAAGAGAACAAAGATCAGAATATGTGGCCATTATAATTCGTAGCATCATACATTTCCTCAACATATGATGATCGCTCTTCATGAAAATCGTCCCTAAAAGGGGAGGATACTGTCATGGACATATGCATGTAAGCTAGTAATTACATGTATAAATAGGTAGAAGTAAGTAAAAATAGATAAAAGTAAGTTAATTCTATAATATTTACTATGGTAGCTTCCTAGAAGCTTCATAGATGCTGCTTTGACTTTATAGGTGTCTTTGATTGACTTTTTGGATTAGAATCGTGGTCAATAAGTTATCCATGTACCACACATGTTGTTAGCTTGAAGACCAAACTAACTATGTAGCCTACACATAGTAAAACTTGCCTAGTAAGTCAAAGCATATGTCCTATAAAGTCAATACATATTGGAGTTCCTATAGAATATGGCCACATAGCCTCTAGTTAGATAGTATATATAGAGACAAGAGTGAAGCCTTCTTCACTCTTCTCAACTCCTTTCTTGCTTCTAGTCTAGTTTCAAGAGTCTCTAGTTTTCTTGGCTTTTGGCAATAGCCATTCCAGTTTCTTTCTTAATATATATATCAAGTTATTTCTATTTTTTCATCTTTCTTTGAGAGAAGTCTCACTTTTTTATTTATTTTTATTATGTTCTTGTCCTTGACATTATCTCTAGAAGATAGCAAATGACAATCTATTTACATATACAGATTTAGTTTACTTAATTAATAATTTACTTGTTTTTTAATAAAATCTTTGTCTATAAAATAAGTTAAGGCTCTTAAATCTAATAAGATAAACACTTTGTGATTTTTGGATTCTAAATACGCATCTACTATAAAACAAGATGAAAGGTTTGAAGAGAGAATATGACCTTTACTAGATATTGCACATGATTCCAACCACATAGTCTCTATTATAACTATAAAAAAAATCATTTTCTAATACATTGTCTTCTTTAGCAACTATGCTCTTCATTTTGTGATTGAATTGTTTTTTTAGATAATATTGAGCAGTGTGCTTATTTTTTCTACAATATAAGCGCAAACCCTCTTAACAACTATGAATCTTTTCTTACTTGATCAAATGTTTAAAATATACCATATCAATTTGCATAAGCTTTGGCTTGGACAAATAAGCTTCTAAAAATTTAGAAGGTATTGCCATAGCTTGATTTATTTCTCTCTAATCGAATCTTTGTTCTTAGTGCTTTTTAAATAGTTAATTATCACATATAATGGCTTGAAGAATAAATTTTTCTAATGAATCTACTCTCGACATTATCAATAATAAATCTTTCTTATTATCTTTTAATCTATATCAAAATTGATTCATAAGAGCTTTGTCATTCCAATCCATATCACAAGAAAGATTTTAGAATTCATCAACATATGTGGTGGTTAAATGTGATTTTTATTTTAGAAATACAATCTTGGTTTTTACTATTCTTTCTCCAAATGTAGCCATAAATACTTCTAAGAATGAATTCAAATTATAGAGAAGTACTAAATCATTTTTTTTTTATCAAAGGTATTAATGAAGAAAGAATGATCCCATAAAAAAATACTATGATGAATCCAACTTAAGTAAATCCATCAAAATATTGAGAATGATGTAATCTTAGATAGAGCTTTACTTATTCTAAAAATCCTCAAAACTTTGATCTTATTCTATCAAACTTCTTGGACATACTTATTCTTGCCTCTCTTATACTTGCAATAGCAAGACTTCTCAGATTTAGTTCTAAACTTGATCTACTTACTTCTCTTAATTATATAATTTCTTGATATAGACTTTGAATTTCATTGTTGACTTCTTTCATATATATAGAAATAGTACCTTTATGATTCATATTAGAAATATATGAATTTTCTACTCTTAAAGTATTGAGAAGTTCATGAAGATCTACAATAGTTGCAAATCTATTTTCACTTCTATTGAGAATAACATCTATAATCTTTTTTTCCATTCACAACTAAGATAAATTCAAAAAATTAAATTAAAAGAAGATAATCCACAATCTTTAATATCAAATAAAAATTACTACAAAGAAGAATAATCTATTTTCTTTAAGAAAAAATATTAGTATTAGAAAACTAAACTATTTTTTTGAAGGTGGATAGTTTACAATCTTCAAAACACAACAATAGAAGTGTTGTAATCCACTTACTTTTAAAATAAGACAAGAAAAATAAATTAGCAGTCTTATCAAATTATTAAAGACATGAACTTCAAAGTACTAAAAGATCAATATACTCTTGTGTCATTCAAAAAGAATAGAATATTATTTAAAGATGATATAGTATTAAATTAGAATAGCTATTACCAAAGATAAGAAGACTTGAAAGTGTTGAGACAAGACTAAAAACTATAAAGGCATGACAAGAGTGAAGAAGGCTTCACTCTTGTCTCTATATATACTATCTAGCTATGAGCTATGTCGCAATATTCTAGAGGACCTCTAATATGTATTGACTTTGCAAGACATGTATCTTAACTTACATAGCAAGTTTTTTCTATGTATGCCACATAATTAACTTCTTCCACAAGCTATCAACATGTGTGATATATAGTTAATTTGTTGACTAAGTTTCTAATCTACCAATCAACTACAAATACATGTAAGGTCAAAACCACATCTATAAAGCTTCTAAGAATCTACTTTAGAAGATATTATGAAATTAATTTATTTTTACCTACTTCTATCTAATCATATATGTAATTATTGGAATAAATATGTATGTCTGAAATAACTATTTAACTAAGAAACTATGTAATAATGTTCTTTAGATCATCTAATAAGTGTCAAACTTGAAAGATATGTGTCTAATTTAATAAGATAAGTTTCTTATATTTGTAACATGTGGCCAACTTATAAAACAAAAGACCAACTTGTGTATCACATGGCCTACTTGTTGGCTAGATTTTTAACCTATCAATCACTTACAATCACTTGTAAAATCAAATCAACATTTACAAAGTCTCTAAGAAGCTATCCTAGAAGCTATCATAGAAGCTATTATCATATTTATTTACTTTCACCTCTACTTAATTCATCTCATTATCTTAATTACTAATGCCAATATTGATGTCTATGATAGTGTATGATTATTGTATAATTTGTTACGTACTTATAATGAAATTATTCTAAAGTAGAAATTTTTAATTTAACATTACAAAATGATTATATCCAATAGATTTTTTTTAATTAAAGAATATTTTAATATATTATTTTAGATTTTATATATTTTTGATGATACTGAATATTAAAACTAGAGGCCTTATTTCATTCTTATTTTTTAAAAAATTTATCTTTTTTTTTATTTTTTTATGTATATACTAGTTTTAAAAAACTTCATTCTATAAGTAAATTGAAACTTTAATTTATAAATTAAGACTTGTGAGCAATTATAAATATTAAGAAACATTTTATATGGTAATAAAATCCTTTGATTTTTTTTGTTTCAAATATTTTAATTTATCAAAGTTTGAAAAATTATGATTATGAATGATATTTAGTTTTAAGAGAAATTACTTATTTTCTAATATGATATCATATTGCATTTCTTTTTCAAGATTTAAAAACATACAATCTTTTGAATAGCTATAAGATGAATTTATAAAACCATGTAATAAATATGCATAATAACTGGTATTTATTTTTTTAGATTTCTGTTTTATAATTTAATTTAATTTAATTTATTGCAAAAGTAAAATAATGTATTTATGAACACCGTTACTTGAAGTTTAATTGGCTCAAAGATTGATCATGTTTATTACCTGTGTTTTGTTGCTGTGGGCATAAAATAAATGTCTACACATATTGGAAACTGTATAACATTTAAACCATAGATTTATTTTTTTTTTACTGTTTTTTTCATGTATGTATGTGTATATATATATATATATATATATATATATACAAACACAAATAAGATATTACAATTTTTGTAATGATAAAAAAAATTGAGTTTTAGACTTCAATCCATGCAATTTTCTTTTTAGATTATATGATTTTAATTATTTAACAATTTATTTAATTATTTAAATAATTATAATTAGTCAGAGCCATGTTAATTTATTTGATAGTATCCACACACTTTTTGTTACTGCAAATTAAAATTGTATTCACGTTAAATTCTTCCTTAATTGCAACAATCTTAGAATACAACTCCGTTTCATAGTAGTGACCTATTTGCAAACACACCTTTTTCATACCCTACACTAAATTGGGCTATATTGAGTTGTCACACAGGACAAGATGTACCTACCCTTGCAAAGCATCGAATATCCCCCTCCCCCTTTCCAGTCCAACACAGGAATCAGTTAGAAAGCTAAATGCAGAACGGAAGAAGATGAATGTGGATGAATAAAACCCAACCATAAATTTGTACCTTTCGATGACCCCCGGAGATTTCCGTCGAGCGTTCGTCGAACTTTCTGGTTCGGTCCATTTCAGGGTTAGAGTTGGTCGCCGGCATGGATAAGAACCGTGGAAGTTCAGTGGTAGGTGTCAGTGTCCAGTGGACGGTGATGGTGCTGCTTGGGTCGCAGGGAGAAATGCTTCGCTGTTCCAGCTTCTTTGTCGCCGTCGCACTCTGGGATTCCACTTTTCTCGGATCCAGTTCTCGCACGTCTCTGGAGCGATCTCTGTGTGTTTGGGTTGGGCTGCCCAGAGGCCGTCCCACTATTAGGCTGCTGGTGGAAGTAGCAGTGTGAGAGGCGAAGCAAAGCGCAGAAGGGACAACGCACTAGGGGTGCGTGGTAGGGCTTGTAGCGGGTGGAGACGAGGCCAGAGAGGAAGCTCGGATCTTGCACATGATTAGCAAGAAAGCTCCAGAGATTTGATACGGTATTGATGTTGTGAGATAGGTGTTTTGTGTCGCAAGGAAGACTCTGTTAGCATAGTCTTCGTCACCGTGTGGTTTTGAAGGTTTAGGGGTTGGCTTGCGGGAGCGGAGCGGGGTGGTTCAGGTGTAGCGGTCGTGTTCAGTGTTTAACTCTGTGGAGCTGCGAAAAATAGGTCTGAGCCATGAGCGCTCCGGCGAAAAAAGGGGGTTTCCTTTCCTCCCTCACCAGCACGTTCGCCAACTTTGGCAGCGGTGCGTACACCAAAGTTAACAGGTACCGCTTTCGAATTGGTTTTTGTTGCCTTGAGGTCTTGGGCATGGGTGTTTTGTATAAGTTTTCATGTTAAGGATTTTTATCCACCCTCCCTCCGGGAATTATATCCTTTCTGGGATAGCGGTATTCACGTTCTTGCGAAACACCCTGGTTTTTCATTTCAATCTGTCCTGTAGTTTCTCTTGGAAGTCCTCTATGATTGTCTTGTATGTGCTGCTCTGTGTCACTTGGGGTTAACCTTGGTGTCTTCCGTACGCATGGTGCTTACTTACATGCTGGCACAGCCATTTCAGGCGTCTATGGCTCCACATTTCATGTCCGATTTAGACGCTGGAATCTCCCTTACTTATGAGGATTCTCTCGTCTTTTATGACTCATTGTGATGTTCTCTTGGAGTTAGACGATGTCTGTTGAAACTATTTGTCAATGTCGTGCCGATCCCGGGAGTTTTCCTTTTAAGAAATTTATTTAAGTGCGCATGTCTGTTAGGTTTGATTAGTGTTTACAATGTCATAGCAATACCTTTTTTTTTTTTTTTTTCCGTCGTGTGCTCGTTATTTTATGTCATTTTATTATTAATTTACCTCATTTTGTTATTATCATTTTATAAATTTTGACTGGATTTCCTAGTCTCCATGTTTTTATAAAGAATTCTTAGCAGTTTGAGGCGCCACACTTTCGTCCTATGCCAGTGCTTGTGTTTCCGTTCTGGATCTATGTTTTACATGTCTGTGCTCATGTTAGTTTCTGTGAATTTTGGAGACGAGCATTCCGCTGTATTGGGGTCGAACTTCTTATCAACTGTTTTTCTTTCTAATTTTTGTATCAGAATGTTGAATATCCCTCCATGTTACGTTGGTTAAGAGTTGATAGAGAGCTTCTATTTTGCATCTTAATATCATCTTTATTTTGATGATGGTGCATGTTCAAGCTCATCACCACATTTGCAGAGGGTTTTGGGATTTGCGTCCAGGTTTTTCTGCATTTTGCTGATGCTCTGTCCTCTTGTGCATTCATTGTGGATTTAGTAGGATAATGAATCAACTATGTCATAAGGTTATCAAGGTTATCTTGTACGCCCTAAGTTCATCTGTTTCCTTGTGCAGTTTACTGGGACATGAGGGCTTGGAGGTAGTCAACCCTGAAGGAGGGCAGGAAGATGTTGAGGAAGAGGCGATCCGCGGCAGGTTCAAGCAAGAGGTGACCTTCATCTTCATGCCTTAAGCATCGAGATCAGTAATCATTTTTAATGTATGTTGTGGTGTGGCATTAGTGCCAATTTCGGCGAACTGGATTGGAATTAATTTAACTCCTCTTGAATTTTAATGTGAAAGAATCAGTACATCGGCTGCCTTACCGTTGGGTTTTTGTTATGTGGCAAGTGCAGGATAGAGAAAGTTATTGGAAAATGATGCACAAGTACATAGGTTCTGACATTACTTCAATGGTGACACTTCCAGTCATCATATTTGAGCCCATGACTACGCTTCAGAAGATGGCTGAGGTATTTTTTTACTTTTTTTGTGCGTGGCCGCAAAATATTTGGCTTTAATCTTTGAGTACAAAATGATTCTGCTATCCGTGATGTTGCAAATTCTGTATACTTCGCATTTTTAGCGAGCAGACTCTAAAATTCCTAGTTCATACCTTGAATTGAATAATCTGCTCACCGTACTACTTTCCCGTTCAATGCTCTCAAGTCCTATTGTCAGGGGGAATTCTTGTCTCTACCCGATCGTTGTGTTTTCCCACTCTAGGGATTAATTTTGTATTCTCGGCGGTTAACCCTTTTTCTGGATGGTTTCAAAGTTTCCTGCGATGTAGGTTCATTTCCTTCTAGTAATCTTGTGTGTGGAAATGTGGGTAGTTAATGGAGTACTCTCATCTTCTTGATTTGGCTGATCAATGTGAAGATCCTCACATGAAGATGGTTTACGCTTGTAAGTATCAACATGCTGTGTCTTGCAATAATTTTTTCTTACTTCTGTCAGGCTGTTTTATTTCATCATTTTTCGTGTAAGTGCAGTTCATAAGCACTTCGCTGGAGTAATAATGAGGTTCTTGTTTGTGCAGGCACTTGGGCAGTGTCAGTTTATCCCGCATATCAAAGGACATGGAAGCCTTTCAATCCTATTCTCGGGGAGACTTATGAAATGGTGAAGCATAATGGCATCACGTTTTTGGCTGAGCAGGTGAGCTTCGCTTTTTTCAAGTCGATATTTCCTTTATGTGATTTTGAAGTTCCATCAGGATTGCTTTTCGTCGTTGAGCTGCATCTGCACTCGCTAGGATTTATCCAGAACTGCTACGATCAGAATGTGGGTCTTTCATGTATGACAGGTGAGCCACCATCCGCCAATGAGTTCTGCTCATGCAGAGAATGAACATTTCTCTTACGACATCACATCAAAGTTGAGGACAAAGTTTCTTGGCAACTCTGTGGACATCTATCCTGTTGGAAGGCAAGTTATCTAGTGCATCCTGTGGAGTCATAGTGACCGCAAAGTTCCAATGAGCCGTTAAACAATTTGTGTTGAGTTTTATAATAGTGTTGGTTTAGTAAATGTCCCCTAAAAACTATGTTCAGATTTTCTGCATCGCTTCGATACTAGTTTTGGTAATATCCGAAATATGTTCTCAATTTAGAATGGCACCAATTAACGAAAGTATGTACAGCATCTGCACACTGTTGCCAACAAATGCTATATTTTCTTCTAGATCTATTTTTCTGGTCATACTGCAGATGCTTTTGTGCTCATTACTAGGCGAGTGTGGTGTTGTTCTCAGGACTCGGGTTCTTTTGAAAAAATCAAACATGGTTTTGGATTTGGTGCCTCCGCCGACCATAGTCCACAATCTTATATTTGGACGAACTTGGATCGACTCCCCTGGAGACATGGTGATGAGTAACCTTACCACTGGGGATAAGGTTATCCTATATTTCCAACCGTGTGGCTGGTTTGGGTATGTCCCTCTTTATGTTTTCACATTTCTGCAATATTTTCACTCTTACTACCTGTTCGATGCAGGAGATCAGCTGTGGACATTTACAATGATCAAATGGAATTGCATTATGTGCATTGCACTCGTGCTTTTGATTATGAGAGCCATTTTAGATAAAGACGTGCTAACCTTTTCTTCTACTTCTGCACTTGTAGAAAGGGACGCTACGAGGTTGATGGATATGTTTACAACAAAGATGAAGAGCCTAAAATACTGATTACTGGCAAGTGGAATTCATCGCTGAGTTGTCAGCCCTGTGATCTCGAAGGCGAACCCCTGGAGGGCACTGAACTTCAGGAAGTGAGTCATTTCAAACCTATATCTTATTCGTTCTCTGTTTTTTTTTAAATCCTTAATTTGCATCAGATTATCTCTGTAAAGTCGGTTTAGTTTTGTACTTCTAATCTTCAACGAGCCATCTGCCACTTCGTTCGTTATGAGTCCATGCCATAATCTTTCTCAGCAGAGGTTCTTTGAAATTCTTTGAAGTGTGTTTTCGAGCGTCGTGCATGTTGTCTCACTCGATACGCATTTCTTAAATAATCGTAGGTGGGATTCAGACACTTGCATTGTTTGATACTTCCTGGATGCAGGTGTGGAAATGTACTGAGCAACCCAAGGGTGATAAATTTCAGTACACCCATTTTGCCCATGTAATCAATAGCTTTGATACGGCTCCGCAAGGTCTTCTTCCTTCTGATTCTCGATTAAGGCCTGATCGTTATGCCTTGGAAATGGGTGATATGAGCAAAGCTGGCTCGGACAAAACAAGGTATTCATCAACACAATTTTTGTGTGTGTGGGGGGGGGGGGGCGGGTCGTTTTGTCTAGACTTGAATTACAAGGTATTTCCTACTTTTATTTGGTTCCAGGTCTTAGATGGTAGTTTGAAAGAGTTTCATACGTTCATTTTTGTAGGATGATGTGTGTTGAAACGTCTTTGTTAAGTGTTTTCAGCCTATCGACAAGAAAAATGCAAGGCGATCGAAACTTTTTGTATTTTTCTTCTAATCCTATTTACGTACAGTTTGGAGGAAAGGCAAAGGGCGGAGAAAAAACTTCGAGAATCAAAGAACGCGGAGTTTGCTCCTCGTTGGTTCAACTTGACTGGTGACAAAGCACCAACTCCTTGGGGCGATCTTGAAATATACGAGTACAATGGTAAATACAGTGAGCACCGGAAGCAGGAAGAGGCTAATGCAGCGGGGAAGACTGTGGATGTAGAACAGTTAAAAAAGATTCCTTTCAACCCCTGGCAGTTTGAGCAATCTGAAGGTCAGAGCGTGGCTTATGGGGGACAAGTCTTGCCTGTGTCTCAGTCATCTTAGGTCCTGTTTCCAGTTCACTCTGAATCTCTTACCTAGATATGATGCATTTACACACATATAGGCAGCTTATGAAACAAAAGTAGTTCTCCAAGAGAGATACCTTGTAACCTGATTGAATTAGACACTTCTACGCGTATGAGAGATTTGGGTCATGTATGACAGGAGATAGGGGATGTTGCATGACCACATTTGCTCTTCTGACGTCCATTTTGTTTGCAGCAAGATGGGCTCACTATTTTGTTTAGGTATATGGTGCTAGGTTTGCTCAAAGAATATTTCTTTCTCAAATGTTGAGAATTACAGCTGTAAAGATTTGTTTACCTGGCAACGTCTGTACATGACGAACTCTACCGAGCTCATTACCCCATTTTAACCCTGTTGTGACTATTGGATTCTACCCTATATGGGTCGATTTTATAATATGAAGCCATACTTAACTGTGGCCCATCCTAACACGTAATTTTGGTAGTTGCTGATTGAAGATCGACTTGAATGGGTCTGCCCATTCTGATGCAAGGTGACTACGATCCAAGAATAATTAGGGTCTATTTAAAACACTTCAAAGTTGCGTACAGAGATGTTAGTTGGACACTCAGGATGCAGAAATAGAACTCATTTAGAAAGTTGAATGATTGTCGTAAGGTATTTTTGTAACGCAGTAAATATATTAACTACGGACAATATATTTAGAACTGTAGTATCTTAGAAGCATTATCAATTTTAATCATCATCAAGAAATTAAGGTGTTCCATGCATCATTTCATAAAGATTTTAGGTTTAATATCCATTTCATCATCTTACAGTCTGTTTTTGTAAGTATTATATCTCATTTCAGCTTTTCTCTAAATAGAAACTTTGTTGGTAGGTTGTCATTCATGTTTTAAACACCTTATATTTAACTCAAAGATGCATAACTTTTGAATGTTCAAATCACAGTAGAACTAAATTGCGATGCCACAATGATAGGTTGATGCTTACTAGAATTCCATTTTGTAACCGGTGTGCTTTCTAGTGTTTGTCTAAAAGATACAACTTGACTTGGACTAATTTGCATTGGATTGTTGTGTCAATGAATTGCATGATACATGTTATGTAAATGAAAGGAATGTAGGAGGAAAAATTTCAAATCTTTAGGTGGCTCTAGAATTAATGAGTGTGTGGCATGAGATATGAAGAGATGAGCAACATTTAGAGAACTTATTCAACTTCAATCAGGACAATGCACAACTCTGTGTGCTAAATCCAAGTCACTTGGTTTGCGGCTCTTAGATTTTTAAAATTCACTTCTCTTAATCTACACACTGTAATAGTAGGGCTGAAAAGAAATATATTTTAGTAAAGTTGTTATGTATTAGAGTTATTAGATTTATCATTTACTTGTAAAGGCTACAATACTCTCCTCAAGTTTCTTTAATTATAGTACAATAATAAAGACATTTATTGACATCAAAATATGACTTCTTTACAACTAAAATATAAAGTTACTTCATAAAACATACTACCCAAGCTATTAGAAAGTGTGATACAAACCTATGAAACATTCTCTATGTGTACCATTTGTATCCCAACAAAAGATATAATTACGAAAACATCAAAGAAAATGTCACTTAAAGTACCAATCTTAATATCCATAATTTGTATTGATACCTATGTGGTATTAATCTTTATGTATAGAATTAGTCATCTTTATTTATGTTTGGGCATTGTTTAGAGGCTATTTACATATGGTGGTATTGTCATCTTTGGTGCAAATAACATTGTAGGTGGAATAGATGATATTTATGTAAAGGATGTGTGTTACAATTGATAGGAGCTTCTTGTAAAAGTTGTCTCTTGTCATAAATAAATGGATTGCATTATAATGAATGAATTAGATTAAAAATTAAAAATTCATCCATCAAAAGCATTGCGGTTTCAATTTAATATAGAGTGTTCTATGTAATAAGGTCAATGTGCAAAGCCACATTGTCATCCTTAACAAACTAAGAAATTAATTTAACTAATAGCATTCTAACAAATTATTTTATATATTGTGGTAATTTAGGTACTAAAATTTCTTAGAAAAAATTGCTTATCATAAGTTATATAATAATCTTTACAATCAATTTTTTTTGGATATAATAATCTTTACAATCAAATACATACTATACTAATATATATTGATATAAAATATTTTTAGTAAATATTTTATTTAACTAGTAAACAAAAACATCTAAAATGTGCATAATAAAAGAAAGCGAAATATAATCTTGGCTGTGGATACAAGCAAGATAAAAAAAAAAAAGTTATACACCTACTATCACTATTATTGTACAATTTGAATAAGTCAATTGACAAATTATTTTAAGACTTTCATGACATGACTTTCATTGATTTATTCAAATTGTGGTTGTCAAAATGATTTGGTGATGAATATAGGTTAACATATTAAATTATATGATTAAGTTTTAAAAAAATACTATTAACAAGCTTATTAATATATTTATTATTTATTATTTATCAGCAAAATTAAATTTTATAATTAAAATATTTGTTCAAATATTATTTTTATTTTACATATGTTATTAAAGATTGAATCTACATCATTATTTATTAATAAAATATATTTAGCAATGAATTTAGAAGCAAGATTTGTTATCAATTTTATTTTTTTGATTGAATTAAATAAAAAGTAAGAAGCCAAGAATGAGATTTCTTTAAAGAAGCAACAACTACAAAAGAATGTGTGCCTCAAAAAATATAAGAAGGCATAGATAGAAATCACTACCAAATACTACTACCTTACTTCAAAAAATAAAGTATTTATATAAGCTCTTATAGACTATAATATATTGCTATGACACAATCACAATGTTTTTCATGCAATTTGTTTTAAACAACAAGCTTTTATGTATACAAAATTTAGCAATATTGCTTATATTTGTTGAATTATATACTAAAACTTGTTTAATGCCAATATGTAGTTTAAAGAAAGTTTTTAAAAAAGAATTGTTGTAGATGTTTATATTTGTAAGATTATTTAGCATAGAGATGTGCATTTCTATTGCTACTTGCAACATGATCTACTAAAGTTATGTCATGAAAGTCTTAAAAACAATTTTTGGCAAAAATAAGTTTCCACTCCAACAAAATAAGTGCATTATTTTTAACATTTGTAATTATGCCATCTATTACCAGTTGATAATGGTATATGTTTTAATACATATTATAAGAATAATATCTCTATATTACTACATAATTTGAAAGAGAATATTTCTTTTTATGTTAAAATGGATATGTATATTAGAATCATAGTAAGCAATGCATACTTTGCAAAGATATATATCCTACTTTACATAATCTTATTATAGTTTCAAAAGACCACAAGAAATTTGAAAGATTGAATGAAAAAATCTTATTGATTATGTAAATATGTCCAAATGATGTTCATCTTATAAAAAATATTAAAAGGAAAAAAAATTGCTAAATATAAAAAATATAAATTACTATTAATTATAAATATTATATTAATCAAAAGAATATTTTTTCAATAGAATTATTTATATTTAGAATGTAAAATAAAGAGAGATGAGAGATACAAAGAATTCTTAAAATTATTATCTATAATCTAAATTCTAAATTTTTCTTCTATAATTTCATTATTTGAATTTTGATACTTTTAACATATGTTAGTATAGTCCAATAATTCAAAATTTTAGCCAAATTATATTACAAATTAGATATATTTATTAACTATCTTTGGTTGTTGTTGGATTGTTATGTCTTTTCTTGAATATCAATATGAAAAAATGAATTCAACAATAATTTTTGGTGCCAAGGTTGATTGATTGTAAGCAAAATCTATGACAGGAAGGTTTTTGCATTGACTACTAATTTGAGCCAAATTGCACACAACTCAAATTTAATTAAAAAATTAAAATTTTGAGATAGAAAAAATAATAATATATATGAAAAAAATTTAAATTGACCTACTTTTTTACTAAATTATTCTTGAATAGAAAATATATATACTAACATGTAAAAATACAATGTCTTTTTTTTCTTCCTTTAAGAATCCAATTGTACTTGATTTTGGATGAGCATTTTTGTAGAATTCAAAATAAAAATATTTTTAGCAACTAAATATAGACAAAGATCATATTAGTTATATTACAAGTTAATTTGGCAAAATTATAAGTTGATTTTACAACTCTCTACAGATATTCTATTATATAATTAGTTCAAATAGACTTCTATTTTATGTCAAGGACATGAATCTCAAAAAAAGGAAATCCTCAATATATTCTTCTATCACTGAAGAGAACTAGAAAGTCAGTCAAAAATGATATATTATTGAATTAGAATGGCTATTGCTAAAGACAAGAAGATTAGAAAGTCTTAGTATAAGACTAATAACTAGGAATGCATTGACAAGAGTGAAGAAGGCTTCATTCTTGCCTCCATATATACTATCTAACTAAGAACTATGTAGCGATGTCATATAGGACTCCCAACATGTGTTGACTTTGCTAGCCACATGTCTTACCTTGCAAGGAAAGTTATCTATGTATGTGCCATGTAGTTAACTTGTTCCACAAGCTACTACATGGAGATAACTTGTTCCACAAGCTACTACATGGAGATAACTTGTTCCACAAGCTACCAATATATGGTTAGCTTTTTGACCAAGTTTCTAACCTACAAACACATCTAAAGTCAAAACCATGTCTATGAAGCTTCTAAGAAGCTTTTCTAAAAGACTTTATAAAATTATTCTATTTTATCTACTTGTACTTAATCATATAAGTAACTATTGAGGTAAATATATATGTCAGTGATATTATTCCCCCTTCTAGGGATGAGTTCTATGAGGAGCGGTCTTCATATGTTGAGGAAGCCCAAGATGGGATGAATTATATTTGCTGCATACTCCGAACTTTGCTCTCTTCGAAGATGATTGATAGGTCTTCTCAACCATCTATAGTGTCCCATACGAGGACAAAAAGACTACCTTATTATTTAGACATTGTTGAAGCCTTCATAGCTTTTTTCAAATAAAATATTTGGAACACCGTCAGGAGTTGTTCCTACCTCTAATAAAATCACTAAACATTGGGAGTCTCTTCCAAGGTCGTGATACCAAATACGTTGTATCTCACCATCTATTCCAGGAAGGATATGTCATTCTTGAGGATCTTCATCTCAATTTCATCATCTTGAAGGTTGTGACAATTGTAATGTCTCATCTAGTAAGTTTGCAAATAAAAGCTCTTGAATTGAATCTACTGGTTGTTGGTGCTCTATCTCATCACAAATACACAGAAACTACAATGAAAGATAGAAGGTAGAATGTTATTTTCTTTTGATCTTGTTTCTTTTATAGCAAAGGTTTGCTATTCTTCATCTTAGTTTTGATGGATGTCGTTGATGAAAGTCTTCAACTTTCTTTACTACATTTGCAAGATTCTTTGATGGCTCTCA